CTGGCAGAAAGTCCTATAACTCACACCAAAATGCAAACCCGGCTTCTCTTATCTCAAACCACTTATCCAAGTTGGCTTCTCTCGGTTTGTGAACACGAACAAGAACTATCACTAGAACGGGAACGGAATGTTGACTTCTGCAACCAGGGCATGGCACCAGCAGTCTCTTTTATCAGCAGGAGGGGATCTTGATCAGTCTCAGCTGTTCACAATCACCTTCTGTAGTTACTCCTTTGTCCTTTACGTTTTGAATTGTATGTGTATTCACAGACACTTATGAAAATCTGAGCAGAAATGTTGTCTCCATGTGCACTCATACTTGTAGATAACCTTCTACAGCACACAGATTTTATAAAATATATTAAAGGTCGTCCTTGATTTACAGCTACAATTGAGCCCAAACTTTTTGTTAATAAGATCACATGATCTTGGGACACTGCAATCATAAATATGAGTCAATCACCAAGCATCCAAATTTTAATCATGTGACTATGGAGATACCGTAATGTCATAAGGTGAAAAATTGTTATAAGTCACTTTTTCAGTGCTGTTGTAACTTTGAATGATCACTAAATGAACTGTTGTAAGTTGAGGACTACTTCTACTGTTTTAATGCTTCAAAGAAACATGTTTCTTTCAAGCTAGGTGCTTTGAAAAGCATCTCTTTCAAATGCTTTGCATACTCCTGTTGTCTAACTCTTTGTAATGCTCCAAACACATAAATATATTAATTAATCATTGTTACTTAAACATGATTACTCAGTAATAATATTGATAAAATGCTTGCACCTCACAACAGTAGTCTAAATAATCTTAATAAGATTAATTAATGAAACACAATCAGTTAGAAAACTTCATTGAAAAATATAGAGATCTACCTATGCACACTTCGTTGTTTTGCATTGTGTATATTTTCAAAATGGCAAGACAAATTTAATGAAGTATTAATGATGAGATGTGATAAGATGCTTCATAGGCAAGGAAGAAAAGAACATGTGATGAAATGTAAATTTTTGCTAGCTGTTAATACAATTTAAACCTTTTAGCCTATTGGCAATATCATGGTTGATTTTATGAAGAATAATATCTAAATTCGGGAGCAATATAAGAAAAAAACATGAATCTTGATTAAAATTTGCCAGTTTGTGCCCATTTATTTACTTACTAAAATTTATACACCATCCATTTCTCGGGATCTCTCTTAGCTAATTTAGAAAATATTCTAGAGTTCAATTAAGACTGTTGTCATTGTGTCACATATGTCAAAATCCTTGCTGTGTAGCAATCTTTCTGTCTGAGCTCATTGATTCTGCGGATAAACTGGAAATGGAAATTTCCAGACTTATGGACTATTCCTTTTCAGGATGTGGAATTAGGGGTGGCTTGGGAGTTCATGGCTACCATGACAGCCATAAACCTATCCCAAGTCATACAGGGCTCAGTGCATAATAGTGGTCATATGTCTGACCTGATTTATCTTTCAGAACAGTAGCAAGAAGTCCTTGACTTGGGGGAGCTGAAAACTTCTGCTCTGTCACGGTCATATCACTCTCTGGTGATCCAGCAGTTCTCTGTCACCACCCTCCATTGCAGAGATTAGATCTATTATCTTGATCTGTCCTCAGCGACTGACCTAATTCTAAAGAGAGCTGGAGATTGTTCTGTTGCTTAAGCTTGAGGTGTTATGTGCTTTTATTTTTTTGTATTGCATGTATTTTATTTAGTTTCTATTATTATTTTTTTGTAAGATGCCCAAAGTCATGTCTGTGATATGGGCTGTAATATTAAATCAATTGAGAATAAATGAATGAATGAATAAATAGGTTTATTTCATCTCTTTGTTACTTTAAGAAATTTATCTGTCCCTCTTGCTAGAGATTCACATATTATCCCCCCATCTTCTGAAAATAAAGGATAATTGATTACAATCTGCTACAAATCTCTGCAATATATGGAATAGTTCTAATTTTTATAAACTGCATTATTGTTTTAGGAATCAATTATAGGAATGTCTGCATTAACAGATAAATATTAAAGAATGGATATTTATCTCTACTTAAAACTATTATAGCCTGATCACATTTTTCTTTTAAATTCACCTTTATCCCACCTTCCTTTCATATGCTTAGATAATATTGAGGGGTTTATGCTTCTATAAAAATATGAATGACTTTATAAAATATTTTAAAAATAGGAAAAATAACATGTTAGCAATAAAGGGATCAATAATATACTGCAATGGACGACAGTAACACAACGGTAAAAGGTGTGGGGCAGGGGTGGGTTGCTGCTGGTTTTACTACTATACTACTACTACTATATGCTGACTCTATAAACTGCTTAGAGAGGGCTGTGAAGCACTGTGAAGCGGTACATAAGTCTAAGTACTATTGCTTATTGCTACTTGTATTCTGTCCACTTTAGATCTTACGTTGCTAGGAATTGTGCAGTCACAAGATGTTGCTAGGAATTGTGCAGTCACAAGTCTATATGCCTTTTGTGATGTGGAATTTGGATTAGGTGATATATTTATAGTCTGGTAGGATTTGCACCAAGAGATGATGGTATTAGCATCACAAAAGTTATCGTATTTTTTGGAGTATAAGACGCACCTTTTTCCTCAAAAAAGAGGCTGAAAATCAGGGGGCATCTTATACTCCGAATACAGAATTTTTTGCCCCCCGAAGCCCCGCACCCCCTGGCTGTGCATACCCTTATGGAGGCTTTCAGAAAGCTCCTGGAGGCTGGGGAAGGCAGAAATGAGCAAAACCCGAGCCATTTTCTAGCCCCCCAGCCCCCAGCAGCACTCTATAAGCATCCATAAGGCTATGCAAGCAATTTTTTTGGCAAAAAATGGGGCAGTTTTTGCGAAAAATGGGGCAGTTTGGGGAAGTTTGCAGAGTGCAAAACCTTTTTTTTCTTTTGGAAAGCTCTTTAACTGATTGATGAGAATTACATTGATCAAGTGCTGTGCCAGCAGAAACTCCTACCTACCTATTGTATTTCTATCTCTATTTCTTTCTCTCTATCCCTCTATCTACCTACCTACCAACCTACACACACACTCTCTCTCCCTACCTACCTACTGTATTTCTCTATCTCTCTGTATTTCTCTCTCTTTATCCCTTTATCTACCTACCTACCTACCTACCTACTCTCTCTCCCTACCTATCTACTGTATTTCTCTTTCTCTCTATTTCTCTCTATCCCTCTACCTACCAACCTACCTTCTCTCTCTCTCTCTCTCTCTGCCTGCCTGCCTACTTACCTACCTACCTACCTACCTACCTACCTACCTACCTACCTACCTACCTACCTACCTACCTACTCTCTCTCCCTATTTACCTATATTTCTCTCTTTTTCTCTATCAATCCCCTTATCTATCTACCTACCTACTTTTTAAAAAATTTGCCTCTTCAAAACCTTGGTGCGTCTTATAGTCCGAAAAATACGGTAGATTTAATACGAGGGGCACACACAACACACACACACACACACACACACTCACTCACTCACTCCTTGGACCAATCATACATACATACATACATACATACATACATACATACATACATACATACATACGTGTGTTTGTGTGTGTTATTTGCATAATTGGTCCAAAAAATATAGATATACAAAATGCACCACTTACGTAATGAAATTCTGGCACATATTAACAATAAAAGCTCACTGAAAATAATAACTATGAATAAGTCTTTACCCAGATGTTTTGAGAAATTGTGAGAGACATTTGCAGCAGTTTAAATTTGTTAATGTAGCCCATATCTTTTCTATACAATGGATAGTTCCTTCTCTGCATAAAAAATAAATAAAAAGTGGAGCTGATCTTAGCTTGATAACTGATTTCATATACCATTACTGTACATTCACATTCATTTACATTCATGTCCTTTCTTTCTATTTTTCTCTTAAGCTCCATTAAGGAAAGCCAAATTTGTTGAAAGCCCTCGAATTCCAGAATCTGAGCTTGGCTCACCAACACTCAATTCAACACCAAAACTGGATCTTGATGCCTACTGTCCTGGTAAGCATGCGGACACAATTCCTATGCATTCTGAAAGGAGGAGAGCAGATCTTTTTTATTTCAGCTTTGCCTTTCTTACAATTTTTAACTTGAAAATTGACAGTTTTTATTTCTGACAGTTTTATTTTTGAAAACAGTTGTAACTTAATATTTGTTACTTTGCAGATTTAAATGAAAGCTTTAAACTCAAAATTTCAGAATTTCAAAATTGGAACTATTACACAAATAACAATATTGCTCAGATAGCCTAAGGCCATGGTTATTTATTCAGTTAATGCACATATATAGTATTTTGGAAGACGGAATTATTACAAGGACTCCCTAAAACTTAATTTTCGGGCTACTTAAGGCATGAAACACTAATATTGAAAATAAAGGCAGAGCAGTTTTATTTTATTCTTAACCAGAAAAGAGGTTGTAACATGCTTGTAACAGTAAAAATCCTGATTGTTTCCAAAATAAGCCTCTGAATGTGTATTTGTGTGCTGGTTATTTTATTTTATAAATGTATACTTTTGACCAAATATATTTCAAACAATTGGTAATAGAAATTCAGGAAAAGAGAAGTACAAAAATAAAACAAATCACAGAATCCATAAGTGATTTTCCATTATTTACCTTATATTCAGAGGTGGTATTCAGCAGGTTCTGACCAGTTCTGGAGAGTCGATAGAGGAAATTTTGAGTAGTTCGGAGAACCGGTAAATACACCTCTGACTGGCCCCGCCCCCATCTATTCTCTGCCTCCCAAGTCCCAGCTGTTCTGGAGGAAATGGGGATTTTGCAGTAACCTTCTCTTAAAGTGGGGAGAGAATGGAGATTTTACAGTATCCTTCCCCTGGAGTGGGGAAGGAATGGAGATTTTGCAGCATCTTTCCCCTGCCATGCCCACCAAGCAAGCCACGCCTGCCACGCCCATCAAACCACGGCTACAGAACCGGTAGCAAAAAAAATTGAATCACACTACTGCTTATATTGTACAATATTGATGTTAATAAAGGATAATATTTTAGTTCAAGGTTGAAAGGAAGTGTCCTTAATGTTCACTGAGCTTGGTTATTTTCTTGCAGACATTTCATTACCCAAACTAGGTAACATCATCAGTGGGTTTGAGAGCAATTTATTAGCAATTAATACTGATGCTGTTACCTGCCTTGGGTAATGAAATATCTGCAAGAAAAGAATCAAGCTTAGAGAATACCATTGATCTCTCAATAGTGATATTGTGATTTCTGAAATTATCTGCAAAAATAGGATACACAAAGACCCAATTCCTGAAGCTTTTGGGGGATTTTGATTATTATCATGTGCGGTTGTGGTTTAGTGGTGAAGCAGGGAAGTGGTTTAGCCATTTCCCTGCTTCACTTTCATTTCTACAGAAATGAGTAATACTAAAATTGTTAGGTTTTTCATAAAAACTTTTCCCGGTTTAACAAATTCAATCAGTTTCTTTCTTTTTTTTTTGAGGAATAGAGAATTAAAAGAAAAATAACAATGTAATACAAATAGAAAATGTATGTATTCTGTTAGACAGGAGATTAAGGGAATTTCAGAATCTTGTTCTTTTGCTATTCCAGAATGTGATGTGTCTGCCACTAAATTTTCTTTAATATTCTATTTGCTATTTTGTAAAGAATTAAACATATTTAATTCTATAATATCCTTCACTTACGTTATGCTGTCCTGAAGTTATCACCATTAAAATATGTGTTTTAAATCAAATAAATAGCAATAAAATAAAATTGCAGCAACACCTTTGCTTTTCTACAATAATAAACTATTGTGAATTTAGAGTACAGCTATTGTCAACAAAGATGGTAATCTGTAATGGTGGAGATGAAGATTCTCAAAGTTGAGAAAAAAAATCATATCATTGCATACTTCTTTGCTAGCTTGTACTAATCATATTTGCCCTACAACCACAGTTCCAAATAATAATTTTATCTTGGTTTGAAATTTTGATTTGCTAAAACTGTAATTTATCACATTTGGTTTCATAGGCTGTTGTTTTAATTCAGTTTTCTTCCCTTTTGCTGAAAGAAAAAGATAAGGAGCATATGAGATTAATTTCTGTAATAAGAAACCATAGTTTGCTATTTCCGGTATTTGAAACATTATTTTCCATGCTTATTGAGCTTAATTTCTGAGTTCAGAAAAAAAAAAGATACCAGCAGTTCAGTTCTGTATTGTTTATTTCCTTAGTTGCTTGTATATTTCTAAACTTCCAATACCGAAGCCCTGAAAATTGAAACCAGATTTTGCTTATCTTTCATTGATATTCATTGACTGGAACTCAATACAGTCTCATATATTACCCGACAGTACAAGAAAATCATTCAAAAATAATCTATTTTGATATAAATTAGATAAAACCTGTAGCAATGAGGAAGGACAGTAGTTTTATTTTGCTTTCCCTTTCATTACTTCTCTCTTTTACTGATTTTCTAAATATTATTGAACTACAGTTTAGTACCACATCAAGAACTTTTGAGTGCTTCAGGTTTAAATCCAAAATAAGGTGTTTCAGTTGGTCTGGGAGTGCAAATATAAATTTGTTTGCAAATGTTTATATGAGCTGTATTTTATCTTTGATTTAGCACATTTTTCCAGATAGCTCACTCTTCAGATAAGAATCATTATGCATTATATTGAATCTTTGTTCAATCTGAAAAATATAGGTAATCCTTAACTTGTGACCACAACTAAGCTCAACATTTATGTTGTTAAGTGAGACAGTTAAATGAGTTTTGATCCATTTCATGACTTTTCTTGCCACAGTTGTTAAGTAAATCACTGCAGTTAAGATAGTAACATCTTTGTTAAATGAATATAGCTTCTCCCTTGCCTTTGCTTGTCAGAAGGTCATAAAATAAGATTATATGATTCTGAGATACTGCAGATGCCATAAATATGAGTCAATTGCCAAGTTTCTGAATTTTGATCACATGACTGTAGGATGCTGCAATGGTTATAAGTGTGAAAATGGTCATAAGTCATTTTTTTCAGTGCTGTTGTAATTTTGAATGGTCACTAAAGGAACTGTTATAAGTTGAAGATAACCTGTGCATATTTGCAACAAATAAAATCAACAACCAGAGTAGGAAAATTTCCCTCAAGGTAAATCCAGCTTGTGGTGCTTATATAGTCACATCTATGTATTTTTCTTCATAGTAATACAGAGGGTATCAGTTATTGTCTTCTTCCTGGAAATGTTTTCAATTTCCCAAACTAGCTTATAGTTTTGGCATTTTGTGGTGAGGTCCCATTTACAGTAATACAAAGTTTGTGAAGTGTTTGGAATTTTCAACATTTCTGCATAGATATGATCTAAAATGTAATATGTTTCCCATGATAATCCTAAAACAATTTAAAGAATCAAATTAGATAAACAAATCAAAACAATATACTTATTTATTTATTGAGGAAAATGATTCAAAGCTATGTATTTGTATGTGGAAAAAGTATGTAAACCTCTATGATGATTATTTCATTTGAAGAGGAAGTTAGAATCCAGTGTTTCAAACAATGAGATGATAGTCAGATGTGATTGTGGGGGATTCTGCCTTATTTAAAAAACAAAATTCTGGCTATTCAGTGTCAAAGTCTGATCTTCACAGCACAGCTAACAAAGGAGATTTCTGAAGACTTCTAAAAATAGTTGCTGATGCTCACAAAGCTAGAAAAGCTTATAAATTATTGTCGAAGTGTTTATATTCTACCAGTCATCTTTTAGGCAAATATTGTACAAATGGAGGCAACAGCAACATTATTATAAACCTTCTCAGGACTGATTGATCAAGAGCAAGGCATTCCAGATGATCTCCAATAACCGCAGGTTAATATCTAAAGAATTAATAGAATATGGGAAAGACAATGGAGAATGGACCAAGAAATGATGCCAAGGGAATGATTATATAAAAAGCAGTAGCCCAAAGCTGGATTGTTGGTGAAAGAAGGAGACCCAGAAAAACCACTCCCTAGTTTCTCAGGCTGTAAAAGAGACAGTGGGAGAATTATACTTTCAGATTTTCAAATGTAAAATTTGGCTTTACAATAATGCAGAATTAGCTCATCTGGTTGTGTTTCCTGTCTTGTCTACTTAATAAGACTGAAAGGAACTAAAGGCCCGTGTTGCATTGGCGAAGCTTAATATTCATGAGACCACCATTAGGAAATCATGTGTATGGCAGGTTGCAAGAAAAAACCACTGCCTTTAAAAAAGAACATTGCTATGTTCAGATTGTGAAAGGCACAATGGATAATCCAGAAAGTTATTAGAAGAGTATTCTCTGGATGGACACCAAAATAGAACTCTGGAGTTTAAATGAAAAGCATTATGTTTGCTGAAAGGCAGACACTGCATTCCAGCATAAGAACTTACCCAACCTGTGAATGTGGTGGATCACAACAATTTGTCATCATTGATACAACTGTGAGTTTCAGTAGGAGGGCATCATAGTGGAAATGATTGATTGACTAAACAGATTCCTTCTCCAATGTTGGTAGAGATAGCAGCCAGGCTGGGTTTACTTCGTCTAGTATCCCATTGGACTGAATCTACAATCTGTGATGTCATCATACAGTGGTGGCTCCTCCAAGCTTTAGACTCAGTCTAATTAGGACGACGTGAGAATTGGTATCCCCTCAATTAATTACAATACTCATTTAAATTGGAATTTTTAAAAAAATCTTTTTAACTTTTTTTCTGCATTGAGTATGCCTGCTCCCCTTCAACACCGGATCCAGCAGGGTACTTGTAAACAGTCACAGGCTGTTTGGCCAGACCAGGCCTTCAGCTTTGAGGCTACAGGACAGCGCAGCGCACACGAGTTCACTCCGGAGCTCTCGCTAGCACTGGCTAGCTGACGTGCTGCCCCAAGCCTCTCTCCTGGCTCACGAAAATAGCTCAGAGGCTTTCATCAGAACTGCCTCATCAAATCCTCGGCTCTCATCTTTGCTGCTGCTGTTTTGAAATGTCCAACTTCTTTCGGCGCCAGAAA